TCTTTTGGAGTCTTGTCCCCTTGGAATCATTCAGGTCTGAAGAGACTTCAGCCCTTCAGTGAAACCAAGGTCTGCTCCTGGAAAATCCCTTTTGTTTCTGCACTTGCCATGCTCAAATTCTCAGCTGGGCTGAAAAATGTTTATGTTGTTATCTGCTCATTTCTTTCCTTTTTGGATATATGAAACACAAGCTATTTTAGTAGACTCCTTCAGCTAAGTAATCTGAAAAAGATAATTTCAGTTAGAAATTACCTTAATTCAACACTCGTTCAAACCAGAACTATCAGGATCGTGCAGACAGGAATGGATTTTCTGTGGAAGTGGGAAAATATGAAGTCACAGGGAAAAAAAAAAGTGGGAGCTAATTAATATTCATCAGATACCATAATTTTGACAAATGGCAGAGGGGAAATTCTTTGTCATTGACCTCTGAGACATGCAGGAAGGGTGGGCTGCTGTTTGTAGCATGTAGAAATAATGTGCAGACTGCACAGTAAGCATTACAACAACCAACTATCCTTGAGATGTTTCCCTCACCTCCTGCTGTACCTCTGTTCTGTAGGCTTTTAGGTAATCCGTAGCGACGTGGATGTCTCTGATTTAGTAACTCAGAGCAGCAGCATGTGAGTAGTCTCTCTTCAGTGGGCCCTTTGTACCTGTTAATTTTGCTGCATGTCTCTTTTCAGCCTTTTCTCTTAGAGCTTTGAAGACCTCATTAGACAGAGAAATTACTTTTAATTTATGGATGCACTGCTAATGGGAAGCATCCATTTCCAGTTCACTATTGAAAGCATGGATCTAATGTTAAGCAAAACAAATTCATTTGGACCTAAAGAGCATGGCAGCCCTCCTTTAGCAACTCAAGTTAACTGTATGGCGTGGTGTAGTGTGATTGCTTACAATAGAAAAGCTCAGAGGAATGATTTGGGAAGGATGGGATAATTCTGCATGAAGAGTGATACCAACCTATCCCCAAACTTCAGCTGCACAAGACAGTTGTACCTATTCCTCAGTCAAAATTGTTTTTCCCTTCAGCTTCTAAATACAGTGATAAATTCTAAGTGACATCTAAAGTCCCAGACATAACTCAGGTAGTAGGACTGACCTGCCCCTTTTATACACTGCTCTGCCTCCCCAGTGTATGTCCTTCATGGGTTCCTTCTGTTCTCATTATCCCACGTGGCATTGAAAAGGGTCCTTGTCCACACACCTCTAAAGAAGCAGATGTTCTCCTTCCACACATCTCCAGTGGGAATTTCCTTTCTTTCTTTTCCCCCACTTCTTAATATATAATTAAAAATACGTATTGATCAGTAGTACAGGTTGCAACATGTGAAGAAACAGGTGAGAAAAACAAAGTCACAGAATCATTAGGGTTGGAAAAGACCTCTAAGCTCACCAAGTCCAACTCTCACTCCATCCCCACCATGTTCACTAACCTATGGCACTCAGTGCCACATCTCCATGTTTCTTGAGCACCTCCAAGGACAGTGACTCTGTGACCTCCTTTGACAGTCTGTTCCAGTGCCTTGCTCCTCTGTCTGACAAGAAATTCTTCCAAATATCCAACCTGAACATCCCATGGTGCAACTTGAGGCCATCATGTCTCACCCTATCGCTGTTACCTGGGAAGAGGCCAACCCCCACCTCACTGCAGCATCCTTTCAGGCAGTTGTAGAGAGTGGTAAGGTCTTCCCTGAGCTCTTGGGGAACCCTGAAAGCCTATGAGAGGTGGCTCTATTGATCAGGGCTTGGTCTGAATTTCATGGCTTGCAGCAAATGCTTGTATGTAGATTTACTGAGGAGATAGAGAAATGCAGAAGATGGGGAGAGAAGACAGCAGGTTTTCTGCTCTGTCCCCACTGCTTACGTGTCATGGTGTGTGCAGTCAGCCCTTCAATTCTTGACTTCAAGCCCAAGGCAGGAAGCTGAAGCAGGAGTGTGCTGTGGTTAGCGTGGGCTCTCAGAGGGCTGTGGTCAACGTCACCCCGATGAAAGATGCGACGCTGCTCACAAAGGGCTTTGCATCTTATCCCACCACATCTCATCACAGGAAGTAGCTGCTGCCTGTGATGGTGAAGTGTTTGAGCAGACGGGCTGCTGCATCGGCAGAGTCTTCTGCTCCCCTCCAGCTGTTGGGGCAGATGAAGCCTTTGCATGGACAGATGAAACATTATTTGATTAAGAGGGAAACGTGAGCTTTGCTTGATCCTAAAATTGGCCAAGCTGAGCTCCCAGAGCTTGCGGTGTCACCTCATTCACCAAGTGAGAAACACCCCTTGGGTGCAGCACAGTGAACAGGAGCAGGATTTGGCCCATCTGTTCATTCATTTCCCAACGCTGTTTTCTTTATGTCATGTTCTGAAATACCTGCAGAAAGCTGGCAAAAATGATTTCATCTGCGTTAACATGAAGTACACGCTGAACCAATACTGATGCTTTTTTCTCAGAGACGTACAAGAACGGGCTAAGTTATCTTCCTGCAGAGGTTTAGGGAAGGAATAAATTAGTGTATCTTGAATTAACAGATCATGTGTGCTCAAGACCTCGAGGTCTTCCAGTTTAGCTCACATGCTCCACTGGCTGAGCTGCCCAAAAACAGCCTGAAGGCCCAAGCAAGGCTTTGCATCACCAAGTCTGCAGCAGATCAGCTGGACAGAGGATGCACATGGGTTTTTCCTATTTTACTTTTCAGATTTAATTTTGATACACATGAATCAAAATCAAAAACACATAATTTTGATTGCACATGTATCTGCAACTGTTAAATGCTTTGAAAGTTGCAAGCATACATGTAAGCTGCAAATGTTGCTGTCACCATCATTTTCACCTGACTTCTTTGGCACCAGCCCTCCATCCTCCCCAGTGAAGACCTCTGATTCATCCTTACCCATCCAGCACCCCTGGTCTGACTGCACCCCCAGCACTGAGCTTCAGTCTTTCTTGGCTAGCTGTGCCCAGCAGCATTAAGCAGAGCACATTTTCCTCCTTCTGAGCTTCTCATCAATGAAATAACAAGTCTTACAGCAAGGGTCATGCTACTGTTTGCATCTGCAATTTGATTTTAGCTATGCGAAAGCTGTGGTTGAAAAGTACCAACACAAGCAGTGCAATGGTGAAGATGGGGCAGGACCTGTTACCCCGAGCATACCCCAAACCCACGGAGATCACATGCAACCTGAAGTGCAGGAAGTCCCAAAAACTGTGATGAATCTTGAAAATCTGTGAGCAAAGAGCTGGGCTCTGTGAAGGTGTGAAGGGGTGTGAATTTTCTGATTGTCACTGAAGAGTTGTTCCTTGAGCTGCCAGTGCTGTGGCTTTGAAGTCCCCCATCACAACTTCCCACATTTCCTTCCCAGATGAGTGACCCAACCAAGTGAGAATCATAGCCCAGTGCTGCATGGGCTATGATTTGTTCTTGGACACAGCAAATCACTTCCATTGCCCAAGAGACATTGAGAATGGAATGAAAAGAGGTGTGAACAGAGTACTGCATGCTGAGGGCAGGATCACCATGGAGATCTGGTCAGGTCTTCCAGCCAGGACTAGAAGGTGCCCTTGAACCTTGTGGAGACCATGTGCATCCCTCCCTGGGCCAAGCCTTTCCCACCATGCTGGATCTCCACGGAGAAGACCAAGCCCTGGTCTGATGATGAGACTGCTCTGATTTCTCCTACCTGGGAGCCAGCAACCAAGGCAATCTCATTAAAAAATATGAATATCCCATCAGGTGAGATATAATAGAACAGTAGAATCATGGAGTAGTTTTGGTTGGAAGGGACCTCCTCTTTAGAGCATGTGTTTCCAACCCCCTTGCCTTGGCAGGCACACCTTCCATATCCATGCATCTTCCTCACCTGTCATGAAAGCTGAATTGTGGAAGAAATCCATGCAGAGAAATAAATGGAGAAGGATGGAGGCCATCTGCTGTGGTCCTGATCATCGAAGCCATGTGGTCACGACTCCAAACCAACCTCTCTATTTCACCTACTACCACTGGCTTTGAAACAGAGCTGCTGGTTCTGGACTTGCATCTCAGACCAACGATTCTGGAGAACACTCTTGGGTCTTTCCTTCTACTTATTGACAGCCTGACTCTTGTTTCTGCCTACAAGGAGGAAGTTTTTCTCTTGCTACTGAGAGGTTCATTCATCTGCCCGTGGAGACCGATGTTATTTATAGTTCCTAAAAATAAAAATCCTCATTAATTCCCATTTTCTGTTTATCACTGCATTATGCTTTCTTCAACTCCTTTAAAGCACAGAGCCTCGTTCTTGGTGCTCACAGTTTAAAGGGAGTGCGATTTAGACCCTGCTCACTTCCGTCGGGGTCCTCCTGTCACCTGGGATTCCCCTCTGCACTCACACTCACAGGAAGGAGCCCGATCTCACCCACCCACAGCGAACCCAAACGGTGCAGAGGGGCTGAGCCAGAGCCGCTGACTTCCTCCCGGGCCAGGAGAGCACAGCAGCCGCAGGAGATGTGCCGCGGGCGGCGCTGCTGGGGCCTCGGCTCCCTCCTGCTGCTGCTGCTGCTGCTGCTGCTGCTGCTGCTGCTGGGTGAGTCGCGGCTGGGTTCGTTGGAGGCTGCAGCCGCTGCCGGGCTGTCCGTGAAGCCGAGCACCGGCGTCGGGCGCGTGGCTGCTGGGCGAGGGGCGGTGGGAGATGGGGCGCTGCGAGCAGCGGGTGCTGAGATTGGGGCTGAAAGGTTGCTGAGCTGCCTCCTCCTGCTCTGCAGGGCAAAGCCTGGCTCTTCTCATCGAGGTCCCGCAGGATGCGGTCAGTGGCACCGTGGGGCACTCCGTGCTCCTGCCCGTCTCCTACACAGTTAAGAGCTCCTTTTGCTTCCCACTGTCAATTCAGTGGAAGTTTGGGAACAGCTCGCAAGTGATCATCACCTGCACGGTGCAGAACTGCTCCCTGGATGCTTGGGGAGCTCCTAAGGAATGCTCTGCACAACCTTTCCCTCACCCCTCATACCGGCACCGCATTAAAGTCTTCCCTGAGAACGCATCCCTGCTGCTGCGGGACCTGCAGCTCAGTGACAGCGGGGTGTACAGCATTTTCTTCCAACAGCAAAATCAAAGCAGGCGAATCACCCTGGCAGTGCACCAGCAGCATGTTTCCACCGAGCATCCTGACAAAGGTAAGTGCCCATGTGCCTGGACAGACTCCTCCAGCAGTGCCCCTGCAGAATGCCTGCCTGCCTTGCGCATTCTGGGGACAACAGAGAGGTCTTTGGTGAGATGGCTGTCTCCAGCAGCCACTTCTCCCCTCTCCTTCCACAAGCACAGAGCAAGAAGCAGGAGGTACAGCTGCACACATCCCTTGCTACAGCCTCAGTGCCTGCTACTGCGTCATCCTGCTGCTCCTGCAGCTGCTCTTCCACCTGCTGTGCCTGCGGGGTGGCCGCCAGCAGCAGAGCTGACCTGGAGAAACATGAGGCTGCTGCTGGGGAGAAGAGAGCTGGTGAGTGGGAGCAGACAGAGCTGGCACCTCAGGACACAGCAGTGGCCAGGCACAATGAGTGTGCTCTGCAGTGCCTCAAGCTGTTTTTCCTGACACCACTGCGCTGGAGAAACCCAGGCATCCACAAGCACCTGTCCCTGCCTGCAGTGTGCAACCACTTCCCCACTCACATTCCCCCACCATTAACTAAGTCCTCCTGTGGGCAAATAAACGTCCCTTCCTCCACCAAATCTGTCTCCCAGGTTCCTGATGTGAGGCTGCAGCATCATCTGAAAAAGTCCCAGCAGCAGAGCTAGAGGTGGGAGCCAGTTTCCCAAAGCTTGTGGCCTGCCGTGGGTGGTGGCGGCACCTTGGGTTGAGGCTCAGGGCCCAGAGGCTGAGCTGCAGGGCAGAAGACGGGCGGCTTCTGAGGCTGAAGGAGGGCAGAGGGTCAGCGTGGGCAGCACCGACAAGTTCCAGCCTCAGCCACCAGCTGCAGCCTCGGCTCCTGCTCCAGCTCCAGCACAGGAGCGCCCAGAGGTTCCCGTGGGCTCCTGCTCTCTTCCACTGGGATCTGCCCAGCCTCGGGGTCCTCCTGTCACCTGGGATTCCCCTCACACAACACGCAGTGCCCGTGGCCTCCCCTCTGCTCTTACACGCACAGGAAGGAGCCCGGTCTCGCCCACCCGCAGCGAACCCAAACGGTGCAGAGGGGCTGAGCCAGAGCCGCTGACTTCCTCCCGGGCCAGGAGAGCACGGCAGCCGCAGGAGATGTGCCGCGGGCGGCGCTGCTGGGGCCTCGGCTCCCTCCTGCTGCTGCTGCTGCTGCTGCTGCTGCTGCTGCTGGGTGAGTCGCGGCTGGGTTCGTTGGAGGCTGCAGCCGCTGCCGGGCTGGCCGTGAAGCCGAGGGCCGGCGTCGGGCGCGTGGCTGCTGGGCGAGGGGCGGTGGGAGATGGGGCGCTGCGAGCAGCGGGTGCTGAGATTGGGGCTGAAGGGCTGCTGAGCTGCCTCCTCCTGCTCTGCAGGGCAAAGCCTGGCTCTTCTCATCGAGGTCCTGCAGGATGCGGTCAGTGGCACCGTGGGGCACTCCGTGCTCCTGCCCATCTCCTACACAGTCAAGAGCTCCTTTTGCTTCCCACTGCCAATTATATGGAAGTTTGGGAACAGCTCGCAAGTGATCATCACCTGCACGGTGCAGAACTGCTCCCTGGATGCTTGGGGAGCTCCTAAGGAATGCTCTGCACAACGTTTCCCTCACCCCTCATACCGGCACCGCATTGAAGTCTTCCCTGAGAACGCATCCCTGCTGCTGCGGGACCTGCAGCTCAGTGACAGCGGGGTGTACAGCATTTTCTTCCAACAGCAAAATCAAAGCAGGCGAATCACCCTGGCAGTGCACCAGCAGCATGTTTCCACCGAGCATCCTGACAAAGGTAAGTGCCCACGTGCCTGGACAGACTCCTCCAGCAGTGTCCTGGACACAGGACCATCAGGCACAGGCTGGAATTTGGTCCCTCTTTCTATGGGGATGAACTACGGCAGCAAAGGGAGAATTTCCAGGGGTATCACAACTGATGCTGGTTGTGCTGCTCTTTTGTAGGAGGAAACCCACCCTGTTCCGCTCTGCGTGCTAAATTAGAAGTATGAGAGCTTCTTGTACATGCAGCTGGTTGTCTTGTCTTTGTGTGAAATGAACGGCCGCAGAAGGGAGAGATGGGCTCAGAAAATGAAGCACTGGGTCTGAGTCCTGTGCCTGGGGAAATCCATTATTTGCTGGGTTTAATAGGATGCTTGCAGATTAATCAGTCACCACAGAGGCTGTGAAACATATGCCAAATATTCTCCTTCCACTTTGGTGCCACCCTATTTACAAAGCAAGGGAAATAATCTCTGCTGTGGTATCTGCCACCCCTGCATTCCTTTAGGAAGCACTCACAGCAGCTGTTGTCTTCCAAATACCAGGCACCAAGGCCCAAGACTACTCCCATTACTACACAATTGGAGTTTGCTCCCTTATCGGCCTCTTTCTGCTGTTCCTGCTCCTCTTCATATGGCGGCGAGGTAGGTTGATCTGCTCCTGCATTTCTCCCTTTGAGGCTGCACCTCTGGGGATGTTCCTAGGGGATAAAGGCAGTGGAAGGATACCAAAGTATTCCTTCCCTAAGAGCTCCTTAGATGTGCCCCTCCTGCCATTCGTAAAAGGTTCCAAGTTTGTGATGCAGCTTAACGAAGCAGAAGCACAGCACAGGGCAGTTGGGGTGGCTTTCTGCAGAACTTGGATGTTTTAGTGCTGGTACCAGAACTGAGATACAGCATTACATCTAATCCATAGAAGAGGTACAATTGATGGACTCAGAAATGCAGCCTCTGAGCATGGCTGTGATTATTTTGTTGTAGACACCTTAAAACTCCAGCTGGGGAGAACATCCTGGGATGTGTCCACTTGAAAATAAACCTGCAAGATGCAGGTCTCCGCAGCTTCCATCAACACCATCACCCCTGGGGATGGAAGGAAATGCATTATTTTCCAAGTGGGAGATTTCACTTGTACTTGGGTAAAATAGCCACAGAAATCTCCATCTTGATGACAAAATTCATGTCAGCCCCTGGTGAAACTGCCAACAGTGCACCTCTGGGTTCCCAGGGTTGGGGAGAGGGAGGGCACAACACATCTGTGTGTCTGTCAGGTACTAAAACTCTCTTTTTCTCAGGTGCATTGCGGAAGATGAGAACCATTACACAGCAGCAGGTACAGGAAAATCTTCTGGAAGCTCCTTGGGTAAATGCTAACTGCTGGCTTCAGTATGATGCACTGAGCCGCAGGAATAGGTTGCTGAATATAAAATTAGGAAGTTAATGCAGTGCTGTAGGAGTAAGTTGTGAAGTGCCTGCCCTTCCCCCAGCTGCACAGTTCCCCTTTGCCCCCTTCCCAGAGCCCAGAGGAGCTGTTTTTAGGGACCTGAGAAGCTTGAGGACAGCTTTGACCAACAGCAGCATCGAGGAAGGACGGTTACATGCAGAGAAATATGGAGACAGTATTTCTTCCCTGATTGCCAGCCCTGTGAATTTATGTTCAGAATGTGTTTGGGGTCCATGTGGGCCATCTAGGGACTCATCTCATGCAGGGAGAGAAATAAAACCTAGAGGAAGAATCAAAGGAAACAAATAGGAAACATGAGAGCAGGACTGCCCCAGCTGCTCTGCAGGCCGTGTTTCATGTAGGAACTGGCCTTGGGTAAAATAATCCTTGCTGCATGGGGGTCAGCAGCTCTGGATCCCTGCTAATTCCAGCACCTTTGGTGTTTTCTCTGTACTTCTCCAGGCCTCAAACACAGAGGATATCCACATGGAAAACACCGTGGTAAGGGACGTGGCAACAATTTATGCCACAGTTGGACAAGACTTTGAAGAGACAAGACCAAGAGCATTACCAGAGATTCTCTACACATCCATAAACTTCCCTCAACTGCCCTCTGCTTCGGCTCCGAACTTTGCAGGAGATAGATGTGCAGCAGAGCCAAGGTGATGCTGTTGCCACTCCGTCCCTTGTGATCAGACCTTTGGTGAGTCCCCTCCTGCCCATGGAGTGTTGTTTAAGTGCTTGGAGCAACAGATTATGGAAATGCATTAGTTTGCCTCAAACTGCAGTTTCTCTTGAATTTGAGGAATGATCTGCTTTTAGTTTCATCTTGAGATTTCTGGAGATCACAGAGACTCTGAACGCAAGAGAAAGATGCCTAAAGCAAAAGCAAAACAACAGTTCACCCATGAGAAGCTCACTTCCAGAGACATGCCTTAATTTGAGGGGTAATGGAGAACATTGAATGTGTTTCAGTCGTGCATCCCAGGGTCCCTTACCAATTGCTTGTCATATTAAAAGAATGTACAAAGATCTTTGGACCTGGTGTCCTTGTTTTTATGAGTATGCCAAGTAATACCTGAACAGACCATTTATGAAATAAACTTTGCTCAACCTTGGGGTCCCACAGCAGTTGCATTTTAGGGTGTCTGCAAAATGCAATGAGAGCACAGATAATTTTGTTCCTCTCTGGGTTTCATGAAAAACTAGATAATATACTGAAACTTGGGGCCCCATCAGTAATAAATGGACATTAGGACCGGGTAAGAGTGCTAGGCATCTCCCAACCACAACCAGGCTTGGAGGCAGCACAGAAGCCTCTACTGCTGCCTCCCTCCCATTTGGGTGCTCCTGTGTTGTCTGGGATCATGTTCAAGAGGGATGACAATGGTAGTGGTGGTCAAAGCCCCTCTGCTGGCACCAGCTGAAGTACAGGGCTGTTCTACCCTTGTGAAACCCTGCTGATGTTCATTACGGCAGTTTTTCTTCTGAAAACAGAAGTGCTTTGTGATGATAAAACCACAAATGCTGAAAAGCTGCCTTAGGTGAACAGTGCCTTTGCAGTGGTTATCATAAGACCTCAAGCATCAGGGAAGAAGAAAGAACCAAAAAAGTGAAGCAGCAGCAAATAAGCACACAGGAATTGTGGGTGTCAGTTTTGAGGCACTTGTGGTCACTGCCTTACTGCTTGTCCTTAAGCACAGCTGCAGTTGTCCCTGTCTAGCTTCTGAAAGGTTTGGAAACACCATCCATGGAGAGCACGGGAGGGCACAGACCTGCTCTTCTGCAGCTGCCAGCCCTGTGAGGAAAGTCTCACAGGTGCCTACTAAGCAACAAAATAAACACTAAAGCAAAATTAATCCATAGATCTAAATTTGTGACAACTAGCATTCACTAAAAACTCAGCCACATCACTGTGAGCCATACATCTCCCAGAGCAGCTTCTTGGAGAAGACATCTTCGGAGAGCCCAGCTCCTGAAATGTCATCTGTAAAGAGGATCTGCAGGGCAGGAGGCATTAAATCCTCCCTGTGGGACTAGGATCTTGTAGGGTGGCAGCAGGGAGAGTTTGTAAGAGGTGCATGCTCAGCTGATGCACAGTGAGCAGAAATGCCCATCCTTCCATGGGATTTCTCAAGACCAGGAATTGACCTGACTGTGGCACCCAACACATAACGAGCTGATCTCAGCTCAAATGCTTTTTGTAGGAACACGCTACAGGCTGCTGAGATGTGACACTGAGATTTGGGCAAGGTAATGCAGCTTCTCTCTTGGCATGAGAACATACATTAGCAAACAGTGGAAAGACTTTCTGCAGAGTGGCTGGTGTCTGTTGGTCAGTGGCAAGGTGCAACACTGAGACCAGTTCTCTGCAGTTTTGTGCTAATGAGGCTTGCCAAGCCCTGCCCTCCATGCTGGGTCATACGCAAGTGCGATAGCTGTGCTTGTAACACGGTGTGGTTGAAACTACACTTATTTGGTAGACTGCAAGAGTGGCCCAGGGGACAGGAAAGCAGGTCTTCATTCAGCAGGGAGGTGTGGGGAGTCATGGAATCATAGAATCATACAGATTGGAAAAGACCCCTAGGATCATCTAGTCCTATCACAGCCACATCATGGATTCCTCGCAGCGACCCACAGTTCCTCTTGCATCCCACGCTATGTGCAAAACACAGAGCAAACTGCAGAAAGCAGTACAGCACGAACTACAAGAGAAAGGAGGAATGGTTGGCCACAGTTTCTCCATAAGGTTTGTCTGCTGCCCAGTTCCTGCCTTCTTCCCTCCCCCCGCCCTGACATTCTGCTCCCCTCTTGCTTCATGTTCTACCAGTGACATTTTGTCCCCACCTCCGCCATGTCATGGCCTCTGACTTGTGCTGCATCCTCATCGGCTGCCTCTGCCTTTCCATTTCCTCTTCTGAGCAGCTTCTTCACAGGGCTTTGTGTATCTGGCCCCTTCTCTGCCTGCCCTTTGTAGCTCTTAAAGGTCAGTGTGGCTTTCTTGTGGCTGCTAATGGCTTGGGGCTCACAGGCCCCCGCTCAGACACTGCTGGCTGCATCTCAGAGTAGCTTCCTCTGCCGGATATTTGCAGCCTTTGATTTTAAAGACTCACGTAGTGCACTGTTCCTCTCAGCAGCCCTGCTGCTTGTCCTATGTCTTCCATGTTTTGACCCATCCCATGTGGCTGAAGGTCATCTCCTGCTGAGCACAACCTGCTCTGACTGGGGCAGGGTACCTGGTGACAAAGGGCATTGGAAAATGTCAACGTACCTGATGCCTTCTTCACCTCGGTCTTCACCAGTAAGACCAGTCTCTCTTGGTTGGAGAAGAGCAGGTTAGAGAGCACCCAAGCCAACTGGATGCATGTAGGCACATGGAGCCTGATGGGATGCCACCTACAAGCTCTGAGGGAGAGGCTGATGGCATGGCAAGGTTGCTCTGGATGATCTCTGTGAGGCTGTGGCAACTGGGAGAGGTTCATGAAGGCTGGTGGAGGGCAAACATCACTCCTGCATTCAGAAAGGAGGACCAGGGGGAGCTCCAGCCTGGTCAGCCTCCCCTTGAATTGTGAGTAGGTGAGGGAAACCACATCCCAACATATGACAGGCAAGAAATCTACTGGGAAGAGTCAGAGTGGATTTATGGATGAGAAACCCCACTGAACCAACCTGACATGGCTCTGCACTGAAGTGGCTGGTTGCCAGATGAGGGCAGTGCAGTGGATGATGCTTCTCCTCAGCCTGAGCGAGGTTCTTCATGCCATCTCCCAAAACTTCCTCATAGAGAACCGTGGGTTGGATAAATGAATGTATCAAGTTGGTGGGGCTGAAGAATCAGGCCAAGACATTCAAAACCAAACAGAACGTGGTCCTGGTGACCATCTCTAAGAGAGCTGGTGTGAGCAAGGCGTCGGATTGGAAAAAGTGCCTGCAGGCCTCCACTGCCCTGCCATTCCAGGACATCCAATTTACTTAGAGCAAAAAAGTGTCATGGACTTCACCAGAACTGATCTGGTGGAGAAGTTGCAGTACTGATTTTTTCCTCTCTTTTAAAACTATGTGGAGAATTTAGAAAAGCTCTGGTAAACCCTTCAGCCAAGCACCTTCCTGGCAAAGGCCAGGGTGCTCCAAACTGCCTGCGAGAGCAATGCTGAGATCGACCAACAAACATATTTTTTGTCTTTGTCCTGACACTTCTGACTTCTAGCAGAGACCAGTGATTGCCCCTTCATGACGAGCTGGGTTACAGCAACATGGGGCTGGGAGAGTGAGGCCTGAGGCTGTGCCTTTGGACGGGCTGTGACATTGGGTACATATGTGCTGATAGTCAGCTGCTCCTATCTCTCTGTAACCACGAGAAGGTGCTGTGGTCCAAAGCAGCATGTGTGCAAACTCTTCCTTGCAGTCAATATTTACAGGTTCGTGCTGCTGTGTTTGCTGTTTGATCTTCAAAAGGTGCAGGGTGCAACACAAGTGCCGGAAAAGCTTTGGAAGTGATTATGAAAGGATTTAACTAATTTTTCATGTCATCCATTTAAGATTAAATGTAGAGTATGACTTCAAAATTTCCTTCCAACAAACTGTGGAAGGAATAACGTGGTGGAGTATCCTGATTGATAAGTACGTCTCTTTGGAGAGGTGGGTATGGATGTTGGGGACATGGTAGGAGCACTGCCTCCAGGGAAGGGACAGAAGTGCTGCTCCCAGTGGCAAATCACATTTTGCTGCATTTAACACCAGCACCTTCACACTTGTTTTGGTTGCTTTTAGTTTTGTGGCTGTCCTGAGCATCCTGGCTGCAGCGTTATGACTGAATGCAAATGTCTGGTGATGTGACCCTGCACTGAGGAACTGAGGAACAGAGAGCTTGCAGTTTGCTAGGCACAGGAAAATAGAGAAGTTTTATTAAAAATGAAAATGCACTGTTGGCAATAAAATGGCGTGAAAAGATCCAAGTGGGAACAGCCTGTGCTTCAACAAAAAAAAAAGGAAAAATATGGGGGGGATCACAGGCTGCAGGAAATCATAGTGTTAGAAGCATCAAAACTCAGAGATGGGGCTGCAAGTTTTGCATGGGTTTCACATGTGGCTAAGAATGCTGAGGTAACCTTATCAGAAGCATCAGAGAAAGCTAAGACAGCCTACGTAGTGGTGTTGTAAATATTAAATTTAGGTGTGGATGTACTCCAGATGCTAAATTTGGGTGGCGAGGCACTGCTGCAGGTTGCCCAGAGAAGTTTTATAGAAGTGGTCAAAGTCAGGTTGGACAGGTTTTGAGCAACCTGATGTAGTGAGATGTCCCTGCCCATGGCAAGAGTTGGACCAGAGGATCATCCAACACAAACCACTTGGTGCTTCTATGCTGCTGCATAGCAAAATGAGGAACAATGTGGGGAAAGTAATTATGGGAGTATTTATTTAGAAAGAGACAAAGAAAGGGCCAAGAAGTGGGAAAGAGGACAGTAAAATATGAAAGCCAAACATGGGTCAGAAAAGGGCTACTGTCAGGTGTTTCAAATGAGTTTCCATGGCTCAGATGGAACATGGACAGGGGTGACGGAGCTGTCAGACATCAACATGTTGGTGGTGCTTCCTTTGGGCTTGATGACATCCACCCATCACTTCCTAAGGCTTTGCAGCCTGGTCCCAGCATCCATCTCACTCTGGTTTCGATGACCCAGAGGGGCCAGATGGAGCCAGCCACGCTCAGCAGGCCAAGAAGCCTTTCTCTGGAGCTCTGGCTCCAAGCTCCAACCTTACCAAGGCTCTCATCTCTCTGGCCATTAAACGTGGTCCCTAGGTGCTCCTTCAGATCACACTCCCTTTAAAATGAAATTCCTCTTGCGGAAAGCTTGTGGCACATGGGTAATCCTATTCTACATCTGCCTTGGTGGAGTAACAGGTTAGGGGGTGAGAAACCACCTCAGGGAACAGGGATGCTCTCCAGGGGAAGATTAATGAGCTGTGAAAAAGAGATGGAAATGGATCTGCTGACCTTATCTGGAATTTATATTGCTTTCAGAATGGAAATAGGAACCCCTCCTGGAGTGGAGTGGGTTCTTCCTCTTGGGTTGTCCTGGCCACCAATTGCTGCATTTCTTGCAGAGGCACAGCCTGGCTCCTTAGCACAAGGTGCCCTGCTCCCTGCGGGAACGGGATCGGGATGGACATCACAACGCCGGGGCGGGAGCGGCTGCTGCCGGCAGAAACCTCCCAGGAAGGAGGAGAAGATGCAGCAAAGGCAGAGAGGAGCGGCCAGCGGGGAGACCTGAGCCTGGAGCCCAGCCTCAGCGCTGCCCTACAGAGCAGAGCCACCCAGCTCCTCGCAAGCAGTAACCTAACTTGGAATTCGTATTTTTTAAATACAGCGATTTTGAATCTTTTCTTCTCGACAGATGCTGCTGCACCACCCCGTGGAGCTGCTGGGGATGCTCCTGGCAGGTAAATGGGGGTTTGATGCCACCAAGTGGGCTCCAGTCTGAATCCTTACCTGGGGCACACCAGCACAGGTGTAAGCAGTTAGGCAGTTATGCATGGGGATCGCTGGCCTATAAAGGGTCAGGTTTTTTGTTTTTCTTTTTTTTTAAAGTGGGGCTAAATGTTCATCCTGTAAGGGAAGAGTATGTCTGTTCTGTTAATCAAAGACAGAGGAGATAGAAGCAGCTCAGGAGAATGGCACTGAGGCTAAACGTTTTCTGCAGGTAAGTTGATACAGAGATTAATATATGTGACAACACAACATTTATTGCAGTCATAGGAATAATCTTGCTGTAGTTTTAGTGTATGTGCTGGCTGGCTTGAAGAGTAAGTGGACAAAGGTTTCAGGCTGAGCGTTTAAAATGGGAAAAAATACGCAGTTGTCCAGACGTCGTAGTGTTTGTGGATGCTGAGCACCCACATAATGAGCTTGGGCAGTTGTGAAAAGATGTTTGTGATGGAGTATTTTCTCTTATTTCATGTTGATGATGCTGTGTGAAGAGTGTTCTTCTATAACAAGGGGATTTTCTGTTATAAATTCATTTATCCTCCTTGCACACATGTCTTAGGTGATGGAGGCACAAGAATAAAGCCCCATGGCTGTTTGTAAAGGTTACCAGTATGAGAATTGGATAAACCATCAGCTGGGCTCGTTTTGTTTGCCTTGTTATGGCTGACTTCTATCCTGTGTTGCAAAACTGTGAAGGGAAATAAAAAGTTTGCTCAGGAAGGATGGTTTTCAGGAGGGTTTGCAGTATAAATGTGTAGCAACAGCTTTCACTGGGGCAGGAACTGAGACATGGTGGAGAGAGAGGAGGAAGCACAGCCTTCACTGCCTGCCGGGTCTCCGCTGCTGCTCCTCACCTCAGGCCACCTCCAGCAGGATGCTCAGGGTTAGCCTGGCTGTCCTGCTAGGGGAAGAGGGCCTCAAACAGAAATTCTGGAGTTTCCATCAGCAGAGGCGTGGGTGTATTTGTTATGCTGCTAGTGCCAGCAACGATTCATTGGGTTTGTGCCTGGCTAAAAAATAATCTTTCTTTTACGACTGTTATCATTTCTAGCTAAACAAATACCACTCCTCTCATTTCCTCTTCCTCTAAACTAATTAAGCTCATCTTCTTTATTTGTTTGCTTGTAAGGACTCCATTTTACAAGCCAAGATTTTAGCAGTTATTTCTGTCTGGCTTTCCTTGAAAACTCTATTCCATTTGGTCTGGGAGATGTGACCCTTTGAAGTCCTCAGAGCCTCATGAAAAACCCATAAACTGACATGCATTTTGGGGAAGCATCTCTATCCCTCTCATGATGATTCCTCAGATGGGAGCAAATAGATGCTCTCAGCTCCAAACTAGTAACTGGGAGTGAGATGCTTGGAAAGTGCCTTCTGGGCACAGACTGGTAGGGAAAGCAACCCTTATGCACAGAATTCAAGTAGAAAAGGCCTCAGCCCTGCAGGCAGATTCTCAGACCACCCAATATGAGCTCCAGATGGGATATCACACTGCCTGAAGGAGATGGGTTGTCAGACTTGAAGACCGAGCTGTCTAGATTCTACCTGTGTGTCCTTGGCACAGTGAGTACCATTGCCAAGACTTGCTCCATCTCCCTGGCTTGTCTTCCCTTCATGTTCTTCTATCATCCAGGGATGCTGGTGCCTTTGAAACAGGCTGCAGAAGTGGAGAGAGCCCTGCAGAGAAGAGTGGCCATGGTGGGTTCCCCAGTGCTGCTTGCGGGGCCGCTTAACATCACGCTCATCCACTCCATACGGTGGGAGCACCTCAATGGCACTGCTTCCCACACCATCCTGCAGTATGAGAGGCACAACCTGACCATCCACATGCCATACATTGCACGAGCCCATCTGCATGCGTCCAATGGATCTCTCCTCCTGGAGGACCTCCAGGAAAGCGACAGTGGCATCTACAGAGTGACTGTCAACCAAGCAGAAAGGGAGAGCTTGTCATTCTTGCTGGATGTTCTGAGTAAGTGGTGGCTATGAGAGAGAGGAGTGGGGTGATGGATGCAGGCAGAATTTTGAACATATATGGATTATCAGCCTAGCAAAGGGGTATGGGGAAGAGATTTTTGAGCCAAGCCTTACATGCAAGTGATGGGAAGCTTGGACCAGCTGTGGATAGAGACCTTCCCAGAACTCTGGGAGACCACCAGATCTGGTGATGCTTCTTCAGCATCAGGATATGACAAAGGGCTTGACCCCATACTGGAAGGTCTCTTCCATCCCTTCTTTTCTGCTCTCAGAAAGAGATGGAGAGGCTGGCAGTGTTGTGGCCGGTGTCACCCATGCTGCATCATTTCCAAGGAAAGCTGGCATCACTAATAGAGTGAAGCCCAGCAGGGTGGTCTTCATGGAGAAGTCACCAAAATTGTCCTTCACACACCATGCTGTCTGTGGCTGTTGGCTACTTCCAGGGACAAAATGCTGTTGCTGAGATAAAAGCATGCTTTAAATAGCACGCAAGTCTCTTCTTGATGTTGCTCTTGCCAATTCCCTTAATTTGCTCTGGTTATTTTCTTTCTAGTAATGCTGCTGCCATGATGTTACTGCAACATCTCTGCTGCAGAGAAATTTGCTTTCCTTTTCCTCTTTTTTTTCCCTCATGTACTAAATGTGCTCTGTTAACCCAAGTATGATTAAAAAAAAAAATAAATGACTTAACTAAGAGTACCGAATAAATGCCAGAAAGCCCAGCACCCTTGTGCAGTGCAAGACTTTCTAGCAAAAGTCATCTGCAATCACATCCTTGCAGATTAAAGGCTGCTTTAATGAACACTACCAGCCTGATCCCCTCTGTGGATGGTCCTGCTCTGGTCTGAGAGAAGTGCTGTTGTTTCTGTTTCCTTTCCAGAGCCTGTGTCTCACCCTCAGCTCTGGAGCAGTGGCCTGGTGGCCAAGGCAAGTGGTGAGGTACTATGTGAGATAGCAGAGGGCAGGGCAGACGTCTTCACCTGGAAGAAGGATGGGCAGATGCTTCCTCCGGACAGAAGTTACCACCTCTCTGGAAGCCTCAGTGTTTTGCCACTGAGGATGGTAAAGAAATCGGACTGTGGCTCCTATTCCTGCAATGCCAGCAATGGGATAAGTTGGCAGGAGACCTCCCTGAACGTCACTGTTGCAGGTGATCACTAAAATAGTGGCTAAAAATGAGCTTCCCATGGGCTGCCCTGAGGGGCACGGAGAGATGCTGCTCTCCAGAACTCAACACTCTTCCTTTGCTCCACCTGTTGCCAATATCCCTTGGTTACTTCACTTCATTCTTCTTCCTCCATCTCCCAAGGTCTTGCCACCCAGGATGTCCACGTGCTGTCAACCAGAGCTCGCTATTGTAGGATGATAGGAAGCAATTTGCAGTCTTCCATTCCACCTCTAGCTGGCGCCAAGCCACAGATCTTGGTGCAATGAGCAGAAGAATTTGGCCATTCTTTCTTAGAGAATGTCCCTAAGCCTAGGTCAACATCTCAACCCTTGGCTAAAACAGTGGTGGGCAGAATATGGTCAGAGTGTTGGGCAGAGTGCCTGTGGGCAACATTTAATCCCAAATGGGTGTTTCATGGACCAGAGCCTCCAGAAGAAATAAATCCATCAGCTAGTAAAGTGAGAAATCCAACCTACCCATGGTGGAACTCCATGGCCCACTAGAGCCCTCCATGCTGATCCTACTGTGACATCGCTCCCAGCTTCAGGGATTGTTTTCCTTTTTTTTTCCCAGGTCTCTCCCCTCCCTTGCAGGATGTGCTGAGGATTTCAGTGGTTGCTCTGGTCTTTGCTGCTGTCTCAGGATGGGGCATAATTTTTCCTGTCTGCCAGTCTGAAAAGCTAAGAATAAGTGAGTCTGCACTGGGCTGAACACCCAGTTTTGTCTTCCAGTGGTGCTGAATGAGGAGCGATGCTGTGGGAAGAGATGGTAACCAACTCATGCCCCCTTCCTGATGACTAAACATCTCCCCTTCTCATCTGGAGGCTTATCTTAAGAGTAAACTCTCCTTGGTGGTTGTTTTTTGTTTGTTTTAATGGAGAAAACTGATTTTGTTAAGTTCTCAGGTCAGGTTGAACCCTAGCATATCCTTACATAATCTTTGCTCAGAGCGTTGAGGTGACTGAGAGACACATTAATAGAAAATTGTAGCATCTCCGAATATTTTCATTCCAAGACTCCATTTTAATAAAGTATTTTATGTACTCTGTGCCATGATTGCAGAGCCCTTTATAGCTATCCCTTCTTTTAAGTGGGTCAACCCTACCATACCCTGAACAGGGACACCCCACTGCTGCATCCCACCCAAAAGGAGGGCTGGGGACTGGTGTGGGGCAGCCTGGGGGGACATAGATGTCACCCCACTCTGCTCTGATGTCTAGGGGGAGAGCTGTGGAGGTGGCTCAGTGCCTACACCTGTGGGCTGGTGTGCATCTCCTCCATCCTGACTGGCACTGCTGGGCTCCTCTGGATGAGAGAAGAAGGTAAGAGGCGTTTTAGGGAGTGTTGCAGTGCAGATACCAATTCTTTCCCTCACAAAGGTAACAGCATGCAAGAGTGATCATTGGAGTGGGGACCTTATGGGAGATGAACATCCATCCGAGTGTTGGCTGGAGAGGAGAAGGGCCCTTTATAGAGGAAATGGACCCCTCGGGCTCAATGTGTTGTCCTTGGCAAGCTGAGAAACCACCATACAGATTAGACGCTCACTTATACTACTAATATGGTTGTTCTTCTTTTTCACAAAGCCTTTTCCCAGTGGGTAACTGCAGAAGGGCACTTAGAATGACCAAGGAATAGAGCTGCAAGCTGGGGGGGGAGAAGGGGGGGTAGTGAGAATGGGGGAGGGGAGGTGACTGGAAAGTCCAGTCATGAGAAAGGGACATGATGGAGACTTACAAAATCCTGAAAATGGAAAAAGTGGTGCTCAGCTCTGTGCTGTTCTCTTCCAGGCCCATCCATTGCTGTCATACTGCCACAGATTTTCCTTTTGTATGTGATTGTGATCACCTTCTTAGTGGCTTTCACAGTGACATTCCAGCCTACGAAGCTCATCCGGCTCCAAAGCACAGCAGGTGAGCCGTTCAAGAAAGGCAAGAATGGAGATAAAAGCAAATGATAAGGGGGTTTATTTTGCCACACATCACTCATGTACAAAGTAATGCTGGCAGCCCCTGTCCACCTGTGGGAAGGCCACATTGACATGTCTTTCTTGTCCTTCCCATGGCCAGCACAGCGCACGATGGGCTATGCTGCTCCAGGAGGGGTGCTCCTGGTGGTGCTGACGAGCAGCTTCCACATGAAGAACATCCACCGGCGCCATGGTGAGGAAGTTGTCTGCCTTAGCCCTTCTGCTCTACCATTCAGAGCTGGGACTGCTCCAAAAATCCATCTAATTGCTGCTGTTTTCTTTTTTTCTTTTTTTTTCCCAGAGATTTGCTTTTCTTTTTTTTTTTTCCTAGGTCTATTTAAGCAAGTTTTCATAGTGGCCAACTGCTTTTTTCTTGTCTTTTCCTTCTGACTGTGTTTTCTGCTGCTTTTTCCTTATCTGACCACAGAAGAAGGCTGCGCGGCGTTCATGGACGTCACCACCCTTGTGGTCAGCACAGCAGCAGTGTTGGCCCTGCCGATCCTTGCCATCTTCCTCTGCTGTAAGTGCCCCCTCTTATTTCCCCGAGCCCAGTTGAATTATTCAAAAGTTGTTTTTCCTCATTCCGAGAAGTCCTCCTAACCTCTCTGGTGACAATATCCCTTCCCTATCCCAGCCCCAGATGCCATCTGCTAAATTCAGTGCCCCATGCTGTGCCTCTCAGGTTGCTTTCAGTGATAAATGTGTTTTTTCACAGATCACACAACACAGGGGTGGCTGCAGGAACGTGACTCCAATTGTGCAGACATGGAAAGGTACAGCCTTCTTTCCCTTTTCCCATGTAAATTCATAGATATAATCTTGCAGTAAAAGAGTGGGATATGGAAACCAACACATGCTTTGTTCCAAAGTTTAGACCCCAAGAAAGGTGCAGACCAGCTCTCACCTCCCTGTCCCTGATTTCACCTTGGGTTTGTGATGGAATGCTCTGGTGGGGTCCACATTCTGTGCAAATCCAACGCACAGCCTTAGCTTCTTTGTGCCCCAGCTGTAATGACCCTGAGTTGGAGGAAGGAGCGTCACAGCTGTCTGTAGGGTCTTGCTGGGTTTGGAGATGTGCAAGGTTTGGGGCCTCAGGCGTGGGGCAGGGCTGCACTTGTGGCTCCTCTGATGGTCAGCACATGGAATCACAGAATGGTTTGCATTGGGAGGGACCCTGAGGATCATTTGGTCCAACGCATCTATTAACAGATCAGGTTGCTCAAAGCCACATCCAACCTAACTTTAAGCACCTTCAATGATGGAGCACTTACAACTTCTATTACACAGCACCCTCACTGTGAGACATTTCTTCCCTCCAGGTCCTTTGAGATGTCCCTGCCCATCAGCAAGGATCCTGATTTAACCTGCTAGACACTGGGGATGTTTCCTGTGTGGCTGGCTCAACATGTTAATGTTTGATGTCCATGTCTCATAGGTCTGAGCCTATGATATTGGCGATATAAAGCAATGAAATTAATCATTTTTGTCTTTAACACAGCACTAGGGGTTTCTAATGCACGTTTTTCCATTTATTTTCCACTTTAGTACCAGGCTCCGAGTTAGAGAAATGCCTTTAAAACTAGTTACAAGCGTGACCCTTGCTACTTTATGGCATTAATGAGGCTGTGTATGTTTCTGAGTGTGTGTAGGTAACCAGCCATGTCCACCCCAGCCTTTTCCTGCTGCCACACAAGGCCGTGCTTGATGCTTCCTCTCCACATGCAGATGACATCAGGGTGATTTGCACGTTTGCTCCCTGTGCTCTTCCTGAAGACCCGTGCAAATGGCAGCATCCATGCCTGTAGAGACCTTCATGTGCTTTAAAACTATTTGTTTAAATGCAAATCCCTCTGTAGGAGCGCTGTGCCTGTCACTGGCTGTTGACAATGGCTCCCCTGCTCTCTGCTGGGTTTTTCTGAACAGGAAGGAAAAGATGAAGTGTTTTGGAGTGTGGTGTGTAGGCCAAGATATGTGTTGCTTGCACAGAGGATTTCCTGCCTCCACAGCAATGTGGGGAGGACATTCTCTGCTGGACGAGACTGGATCTGTTTCAGGGGTGAGGGTTAAGAATTCACTCCTTTCTGCAGCTTTTAAAATCCTCTCCTTCAGCTCACTCCAAGCAGCAGTAGTTGAGTGCTCGCAGTTCTGCATGTGGGATCCTCGGGGCTGGCCCAAGGGGAAGCAAACACAGATCAAACCCATGATGGGATTTTGTTGCCCTTTGTAAGGGAAGTAATCTCCCTGCAACAGCAAACTCTGACTGGTTACAGATGGCAGTACCTCCTCTGAGGGGCATAGGCCATGTTTGTCTATCTGCCCACCTTCTGTCACGGTTTCCTGTTGCCCTGATACTGTGGGTACGTGAAATTATCTATTGACTTTTTGTCTTTGCTTAGCAGACTGGTTTCTCTGCAATGCCATTAAGCTTAAAAAAAAAAAAAAAAAAAAAAAAAAAAAAAAAGTTATTTATTCTAGCAGGCTGAGGTAGGCTGTGGGATGCAATGGACTGTTCCTCCCTAGAGGCAGCTCTTTATATTTCCCTTTGCTGAGCCCCACGAGGTCCCTCAGCCCACTTAGTTCCACCCTGGATGCCAGTATCATCATTGGTGCCACCCATCCCAGTGTGGTGGCACTGCTGAAGATGCTGAGCCTTGGGACATACTGCCAGCAGGATGCAGTGCTGCTACCCATGACTAAGCTGCTCTGCTGGTTGCCTGCCCAATGCAACATTGACAAGAAGAAGGACAGAGAAGGTAGCAGGCATAGCAGCTTTCAGGATCTCTAGCAGGGACCTCGAAGAGACCTTTTGCCAGCATTGATTTGAAGAAGTAATAGCACAAAATATTCTGTTAATATATCCTTACAAGCATAGCTGCTGAATTGTTGTATAACACAAGTAGTGCTTGCCTGCAACACCACGGTAACCTTTACGTGCTATGGGTGATAATTGTGATGTAGCACTGAGAATGGGGAGGCACCTCCTAAGAGTGTTCTGTTTTAACATGATAGAAGTTATAACAACATAGTCAAACTTGCTAATGTTTGTTGATGGATACCCCTGCCCTGCAATCTGTTTAGGTAACAGAAAGAGCTGTGTCTCTGAATCAAGGAGATAAGGAAGTTCTGCTGAGGCTGGGTACCAAGAAAATAGGGGGTCCTGCTTGGAATGAATCACTGAATATGTAATGTGCTCCTGGGAAAACTTCTGCTTAGACAATAGAAGTTACGTATATAAACAGAATATCTTTTGTGTAAGGTATGCATGATAGGAGGATTGCCCCATATTTCCCCAGTGCTGCCCATGAGAATAAATACCTGCTTAAAGGTAATAAAACTTTTGCTGCTAAGTGTCTTTGCATCAATTCCTTCCACTGAGAGTGTCTTATCCTCCGGAGAGGCTGTCATCCGAAATCCAGGAAGAAAGCTCTTTAACTCCAACATGGTGCTAGAAAGTGGCATTCCTTTATTCCTCGCGATACGTACCAGATGACTTGAGGAGCACAACCGTGCTCTGTCAGCGCTCAGGTTCTACACTTACACAGTTAAGATAAACATATGAAATACGTTGGCATATATCTTCATTCTTTCTCAAGGACTCCTTAATATATGCTAATATCCCTCTGGGCATGCTCAGTGATACATAGGGTGATCGAGTGCCCACCTACTTCCCCATTTTTCACCATCAGCTTCAGCACTGAGACTTTCTTGTTAAGCCATAGCGAGCCGCTATGCGGAACCCTAGGCAAGTCTTTGTGCCTGCTGAGGATGAAAACGCTCTGCTACGATTGGAGGCAAGCTATCAGAGAGCTGGCCTGTGGGAACAAGCACCGCCCTTGAAAACTGAACAATAACGGCACAGTGAAAGCAGGGAAGTTTCAAGGGGAGCTGCAAGAAGAGGTGAGTGCGTGTATGGCCTGAACTGGCTGGGTGCCGGCAGGGAGGGGCGGAGGGATGGGAAATGGGGAGACAGGGCAGAGCAAAAGGGGTAGGGGCGGAATGAAGGGGATGGAGCCGTGGGGCTGAAGCTATGGGGACGGGGAACCCTGTAATGCTTCCCAAATGGCGTTCCCGTTCTCCCCTGTAGGGTATCTGGTTCTGCACCTCTCGCTCAGCTCTTCCCTCTTGTCCAGCCCTATAAACAGCAAATCTATAGCGCTTCTGAAACAGCACCTCTGAAGCATTTTAGAGCTGACAAACAACCTCTCACTGCCCGCCTGGCACTCCCCCAGCTGCCTGCCCCAACCCCTGATCATTGCTTGGCATCTCCCACACCTCCAGCACTAGCTGTGAGGCTCCCTACAACACAGGCGCTCATCGCTGGGCTTTGGGCTGCAATTTTGCACAAAACTCCTTTTTAGATGGTTCATTTCCCTCCCCCCTCACCCCTTTTGTAGTTACTCTCGCTTCTGTTAGAGCAGAAAATGAAACACTCAAAAATCGGTTGCTGCGGTCTGCAGCAGCTGTGCTGAGCTCCCAGCTGTCCTGCTGCGTGCAAGCAGTGAAACTTGTTTTCTTGCTACTATGTAACTGCCAGGAAGTGGTTTTTGATTTTTTTTTTCACTGTTTTTGACAGTCCTTTTGCTCAGTAAGGCAAAAGTGACTGAGGGAGAAGTTGCTCACAGCTGAGCTTTCTGATTATTAATGTATTTAACCTTCTGAAGCTGAATGGTTCGTGTTTTTTCCGTTAGGGAAGTCTGCAGATAATAGCTTCTGCAGCACACTGCTACAAAACAGGAAGGAGATGAAATATTTGCCTGCTGTATATCAGCTCCGTCCATTCCCAATTGCATCCGTTCCCAATGTGCTTCTGCGTGCATTTATTCCCACTGAAGATCAGTGAGTAGTCAGTAAGCTCAGGGGCAGAGTGTGCACAGTGCTTCAGTGTGATGTGCATCACGACCTGATTCTGAGCTACCCTGGGAAAGGTACAAAGGTGTGGGCATGGCAAGGTGTGAGATCTCCTGGGGCAAATCGAGGTGTAACAGCAACAAACAGTCTGTTAGATGTTTACTTATATCCCACTACAGTAGTTAGATTGATCTCTCTATTCCTTACTGGTGATCACAATGATATGGTATGACTTGAAAAGAGAAAGACAAAGAGATGTCACTACCCTTGGATCCAGCGATGCCACTTAATTAGGGCATAATTAGTTGCTCTGGTGGTGGGCACACACGTGAACGCCACTCTTCTGCCTCCTGTGTGCTTCCCCCACCCACTGCCCCCACTTCTGTCAGCTGCTGCAAATGTGACAGAGGCCTCTTGTGGTCGGCAGGCCTTCTCTAAAATGTGATCAAGGCTTTACTGCTGTGTAAGTGCAGCTTGAGATTTGGAATAATCTGTTAATGGGTCGGAGGGAATTCTGTGGGTCTCACTTTCTTCCTGCCCTCCTTGGGCACAGGCATCATTTGTGAGAAGTCCCCTCCTTAATTAAGTTTGCCTGTTACAAAGCCTGTGCTTTTCCTATTTATTGGTGTGGCTGCTGTTGCTGCCCCATATAAGGATCATAAAATTGGGAAGTAACCTCTGGAGGTCACCAAGTAGGTTCCCTATAGATTACACAGGAAAGTATCCAGGGTGGTAGTGAAGATCTGCAGGGGAGACTCCACCACCTCCCTTGAGCAGCCTGTCCCAATGTTCTGTCACTTTCATTTTAAAAATTTTTTCCTCATATTCAAGTTCCATTTTGTGCCATTTGTTCCTTGCCCCCTTGTTACACACCACTGAAAAGAGCTTGTTCCCCCCACGCACTTGACAGGAAAGTGCCAGCCAGGGACAGAGTTGATTTGGTTCATAGTGTCTGCTATGCTGCTGTTTTAGTTTTAGCATAAAAACAGCGTTGAAAGCAGGCTGTTGTTTTTATTGCCGTGGAGCAGTGCTGCACACAGCCAAAGACCTTTTCAGTCTTCAGTTTCTGGCTGCCAGTGAAGGGCTGGGGAGGCAGGGAGCTGGGAGGGGAGGGGACCAGGGCAGCTGACCTCAACTTACTGCAGGGGTGTTCCGTAATACATGACATTGTGAAGAAAATATGTGAAAAATAATGAGAAGTTGACTGAGCAGCTGCTGCTCAGTTGTCTTTTTTTTACTTTTTCTTTCTATTCTGGGCTAAACTACAGCACCGCCCTTTAGATACTTTTAAGCTTCGATAAGATCCCCTCTCAGTCTTCTCTTCTTCATGCTGAACAGCCCCAGATCCTTTACTCATATAGGAGATGCTCCAGGCCTCCCATCATCTTTGCGGTCCTCCAGTGGATATAAAAGTTCCCTGTCTTTCTTGAACTGAGGAGCCGAGAACTGAACACAGTGCTCCAGATGTGGCCTTACCAGGGCAGAGCAGAGAGGGAGGATCGCTGCCCTTGTCCTACTGGCCACACTCACGTTAATGCACTGCAGGTTATCATTGGCCTCGTCGGCCACAAGAGCACACTGCTGGCTCATGGCTGTGCTGTTGGCTACCAGGACACCCAGGTCTTTCTATGCAGAGTTCCTTTCCAGCAGGTCAGCCCAGAACTGGTACTGATCTATTCAGTTATTCCTCTTCAGGTGTAGGACTCAGTTCTTGATCTCATTGGACCTCATCAGGTTCCTCTTCACCCAGCTCTTAGCCTGTTTGGGTTTCACTGAATGGCAGCACAGCCTTCTGGTGTGCCAGCCACTCCTCCTGGCTTTGTATCTTCAGCAAACCAGCTAGGGATACACACCTTCATCCAGTTCATTGATGAAGATGTCAAGCAAGACTAGACCCAGTACCGACCCCTGGGGAACTCCAGTAGTTAAAGGCTAGACTCTGCACTGCTGATCACAACACAGAGCTCTGCCAGTCAGCCAGTTCTCAGTCCACCTTGTCTGCCCATCTATCCCATGCTTCCTCAGCTTACCTACAAGGATGTTGTGGGGGACAATAGCTTTGCTGAAGTCAAGGCAGACAACATCCACTGATCTCCCCTCACCTCTCCAGCCAGTCATAACATCACAGAAGGCTATCGTGTTCGTCAAGCAGGATTTCCCCTTGCTGAATCCATGCTAATGCTCCAACTGGCAAAATGGAGATAATTAGCACACCAGTGTTTTCCGCTTGTGCTCCCAGGTCTTTATATTCTTTGATCCTGCCCCTGTTCCAGCTCCCAGTACAACCCATGCCCACATGGAAGAGCAGCAGCAGACAGCTGCTGTCTGGGGAGCCTCCCTGCCTTGTAACAAAAGGCTCTTTGTGCGCCTGTCCTCCCTCTCTATGTTCAGCTAAAACTTCTTCCAACCTCTGCCCCCGTGGAAAGTTTTATTTGCTATCAATCCCACGCTGTAGCAAACATTCATGGGAGGAGGTGATTTTCAGTTCCTGGCACCGACTTTCTCACAGACAACAGAACTCCTCAGAGACTGAGATAACAAACTGATATTGACATGAATTCATTTCCCCGGGGGACCTTATTTATTTCTCCCTATCGCAACCGGAGGAGGTGGAGGACGGATCTGTGTTATAAATTGCAGCAGCAGTTTGCAGAGGAACTTCATCACATGCCTGCTTGCAAACTTACTCCTCAGTGAAGCGATACTGTCTGGGTGCCTGAACAATGCTGACTGTGGCCTGGAATATTTCATTTCTTTTCTGAGTGCTGCAGCTTTGTGCAATTCGTCTGAGCTGGAGGAAGGTCCTCCAACCACCACCCTTCCTCCAGGGGAGCCTTTCTTGCAAACTTGCCTTGTTCTTTACTGGGGGAACCTCAGCCCTTCCCTGCGTGCACAGGGAGAGCTGGGACGGACTCTAAGACCCAGATGCCCACTTTGGGAAATAGGGTGTGCCAGCTGGAAATCCTTCATCTCTAAATGGTGCCTCCTCCACAGCCCTTGCTCCCACATCCTTCAAATAGCAGTTTATACCAGTAAAGAATATTTTTCTTGTTTCCCTCTTAAAAGCCTCAAACGTTTCTTGCCTAAACCTCAGACATCAGGAGGATGCCGAAGAAAAGACTGGAAAGTGGCTGAATTTTGCATTAGCATTCCCACAGCCCTTTGTCCCATAATGTCCTCCAAGGTCACACGCATTTTGCAGAGGGAAAGCAGACCTCATTTCCTACTTTTGCTCTACTTCAAAGATATTCTTTGAGCCCATGAAGCTCCACCAGCAGCCCTGAGTGTGTGCATTCACATACAAGCCTTGCCACCAGGGCTCTGCAGCCTGCAGCAACCGCTCTGCCTCAGATAATGCAGTGCACGGAAGTTCACGTGATTTCTTCTAAAAGCTCATTTCGTGAAGTCCTTTGATCAGGGCAGAAGCCAGAGAGAAGCCATCAGTCCTTCGGTGGTGAGGAAAGCCAGGACTGGAAGTCTCCATTGCAGGCTTGAACATGATGTACCCTGCCTATATCCTCTTCTCCTTGGCTTTTGGCTACTTTTGGGGTTAGGATGCTGGGTTGGGAATGGGCTCAGAGTGGTCCAGGGCAGCTCCATAATTGAAATAGTTTTTTTTCTTCCTTCCCTTCAGATGCTTCTCTGAACTATGCTGGGGCCCATGGAAGACAAATGGATGTTGCCAGGAGGTAATGACTATCTGAAGTGGGCTCAGCTTTCAGCACAGGGCCTCATCTGTGCATCAGAGCTTTTTTTCCCACTGTCTCAATTCCATTGTTGGAGGGGATGGTTCGACATATATATTCCTGGAGGGAGATTAAGGCAATAAAAGAGCATGTCCATGGTACATGCCCTTCCCGCTGGGTAATTGGCAGTTGATCATCCGACTGTGGCATGGTGGGCAGCTAGGAGTGGGACTGACTGCATGGTGCTCCTCTCCTCTGAGATGACCCCCATAAATCAGCTTGAATGCCCAAGAGAAGCAACAGCCCAAAAGGTTTTTTCAGGTTGCTCAGTCATGTATGATTCTCTTACTGCTGTGCTCATGGTAACATTGGCCCGAAAAACTTGTTAAGCAGGTTATATTTTAGATGGGTGCCGTTGAACAAGCTTTGAGCCAAAAATTGTGTCCAGCTTCTTACACCCAGCCAGACCGTGTCCCTAAACATGTCCCTAAAGCAGACCACCTCTTATGCTCCCATCTGAGACTTTAATTTCAGGGCAGTGAAATCCCTTTGTTGGAAATCTGAGCTCCTCCATCATCATCCTTCTTCCAAAGCTTTGCAAATCCCAGCAGTAAATGCAGTCCCTGTTATCCAGATGCCAGTGCTTGTGTCTGGGCTCTGAAGGCAGCTATGAGCATGGTTGCACCTCATTGCAAAGTGCATTGTGCACAGGCAGATTGTGCTTGAGATCTCCCGTGAAAACAGATCAGCATTGCACATACTGGAGTTTCTAGAGTAAAGAAAGTCACCTAAAAATACAGAAAGTCCAGAGAGCAAAAGCTAAAAGAATTACCAGACAGAGCTCAAATAGGCCAGAAGCATTCAATTTGGAAAGAAGTGGCTGGGATCGAAGTGGGATTGAAGTTTTCCAAGTCATTAAGAAGGTGGATAAGGCAGATGCAGTGCCTGCAACCACTCGAGAGCTCAGTCATCTTGAGGAGATAAGGGAATGTGTTCAGGCTGAGGAAAAGTGCTTTCGGTATATGCAGGGAACATGACCATAATGGCCAGCAGCTCTTTAAATGAATACTGAAGGGACAAAGTAGAGCTGCAGCATTGCAAATATGCAGTGCATGGGAAGGGGTGCAGACAAGACAGCAACAGTATTACTGCTCTTGTGCTGGTGTCAGTGCCATCTGCCAGCAGCGAGAGGTGCTGATGGTGCTTTGCATGGTGTCATTTGCAGGTGGGGACACTATTCCTAGAGAGCCCCACCAAGAGCACATCGCTGCAGGAGGAGCTCAGACCCAATGAAGGCCTGAAGGCACCCGCAGGTCTTGGCCATGTCAAACACACACTGTGAGTATGAGAGAGGAACTCAGCTGTGCATATCCTTGGGCTGGGTGCTGCTGGGCAGCTGTGGAGGGGGAGGGCAAGTCCTGAAGCATTTTCATGCTCCCTTGCACCTCTGTCTTGGTCAAGAAATGAGCATCTCAGCAAGTGCTGCAGTATCATTGTGCCTGGGTACCACTAGGTCCTGTTGCTGGGACAGCATGAGGCATGGGGGTGAAGCTGTGCTGAGTGTGGTCTCACTGAGCAGTAACCTCCAGTATAGCAAAAATGCTAAGTCACAGCCTGAACCAGTGATTGAGCACGTGGTGGGAAGGCAGGGCCAACCCAGGGGAGCTCAGGTGCATGCAATGTGCCTGAGTGACTGGAAGGGGTGGAGCCAGGATCCACACCTTCCAAGACCTCATGTAAGGGTTGGCAGTGGATGTGATGGTATTTTGTTGGACATCCCTGCCTACCTGAACTCCTCTAGGGGTAAGCAGCTTACTTCCTTTATTTCTGTGCTCATGGCTGCTACATTTGATCAAATTCTCGCTCATTGCAGCCTAGGATCTTGCTGCTCTGCTGTCATTGTGGTGCTTTCATCATGTTACTCTCAAGGAGTACAGAGTCCTGTTATTCTCCTTCCAAAGGCAAAGACCTGCTTGAGTTTGCTAGGAGCCATTTATATAACAGGTCTACAAAAGTGATGTGTTCTTATCTTAAAAAGGGGGAAGTAAATCAGATGTGGCATAATGGGGGCCAAGAAATCAAAGAGTCTATGAGCCAATTAAGTTGTCCTGTGGCTTTTCTTTTAAATTAACCCACCGTGCTCTGGCATCTTTCTTGTTTCCAGACGTGTTGCTGCTTTTCCTGGGATCCTGCCTTGGGGTGGAAATCACAGAAAGAAAACTTGCAGCAGAAGGATCCTCTGTCATGATGCATGCACCAGCAATCAGCAATACGAACATCACAGAGTGGGAATACATAGAGGGCAACACACCCAAATTCATCTTGCAGTACTATGCCAACTCACAGTCTGCAGTTGTTTACACAGCATACAGAGACAGAGTGGTTTTCTACCAAACAAATGGCTCGCTTCTCCTGCAGCAGCTGCGGGAGGCAGACAGTGGCCTCTATAAAGCAACAGTTGACCTGATGCAGGACAGGGCTAGGACAACTATCCTGGAAGTAATCAGTAAGTCAAAATAGGTTGAAAGGATGTTTTGCTCTGACAAAGATTTGCCATGAGTATGGCAGATGAGATGCATTTTTCTGGCTTTATCACTGCTTAGAAAGACATGGACAAGAGCCAGGCACCCTCTTCCTTAACATGGACTTCCTTGTTTCATCATTAGCAGCTGAATTAGCAGGAGGTGAATGTCCTAAAATGCCCTCTGACCTTAGAATCATAAGCTCAAAGCATGGCTAGGGTTGGAAAGGACCTTAAAGACCATGCAGTTCCAAAACCTGCTGTGGTGGAAACAACTTCCAGTAGGGCAGGCTGCTTTCTGGCTAAATGTGATGTCTTCTCTTATGCCCCATGCTTCCCCACACCACTGCTATGTGTGAGCAACCCTTTCCTCTTGGAAGAAAGTGTCCAGAAAGTCCCTGTCATCACTTCCCAGTGATGCACTACCTGGCACCCCCTGTAGGCTGCTATCCCTGACCCAGGGGTGCCATGTCTGTCCTCCAAGAGTCAGTACTAGCCATCCTTGAGTTGGCACAGTGGCTTGATGGCAGCAGCTGTTGAACTCTGTAGTTACTGCCTTGCTCCTGTATCTTCTGCCTCTCTGAGCTGAACCAAGGTTGAGTTGCAAAGTGGGAAGGTGCTGCTCTCCCCACGGGGCTCACAGTTCTTGCATCTCAACCAGGGCTGGCTTTAAGGAGGGAGGAGTGGCAGTCTCACTCCAACGGCCAGATAAAGAGGGGAAATTCTTTGATATACCTGGAGTAAGACTGAGACACAAGAAAAGTCAAATGTTGTCCAACCAGTTTATTATCAGTTTAAAGTGATGGGGAAGGGAAAGACTAGTGATTATTACAGATGAGATGATGGGGAAGGGAAGGTGAGTGATAGGAAAAGAGCGAGACTTTTATGTAAAGCAGGGGCTGATTCTCCTGGCTACCTGATGAATGAAAAACGTGTATGGGCAAAGGAAGGGAGGGAGAGAGAATAAAATGTTCTGTACAATCACTAGAAAAGATTTCCTGGGTTTGGTGACAAATGTTGCCTTGATCTGTTGGACTTCCCCATCAGTTGAAGAGGTTACAAAATACATAGAAGATAAAATGTGTTGAATAAGGCTCATACAAGGAATGGACTTCAGAGCTAGAACAGCACAAAGTAGATAAAATGGAACACGTTTTACCTATGGGCCCTCTGGAAGCAAAGAAAAGAGATCAAAATGTATGTTTTTCTGTTTGCTGTACACCTTTAGCTATTTGCTTGACAACATTACCATTGTTGTCAGTCTTTAGACAAGAATTAGAGTCACTCAAGTTTGCCATAGACACTCCCTTCTTTGGCTGGTAAGTTGTCGAGAGCTGTGCAGTGCTGGAATATTGCTGCTCGCATCTGTGTGGCTTGATCTGCCAGGAGATCCAGGGCATGAGCCGTTTCAGTAGTAATAATTTCAAGGATGGTTTTTAATCTGAGAATGCAGTTCAGGTTATAAATGGGTTCTTGAGCACCACTGACCATTCATTGGAGTTCTGGGAAGCTGGGCTGTGGTGTTTGATTATACGCTGTGAGGCAGCTGGTTGTCCTTAGTCCAAGTTTGGCTGCTACCACTTGTGGAGATGTCAGTGGGCTGTCATCATCTGAGAACACTGTATGCTTTGACACCTAATTCACCACCATCTCCCCCAGGACCAAAAAGAATACTGGGGGAATTGTTCCCACGTAACATACCCAGGCCAATTTGCAGGTAGTTGCCTGTCAGCATAATGGGCACAAATCCACTAGTGTCCCTTCAGTGCTGCTGAGTATTTTCAAATACCCATTCCACAGCAGGATTATTTACATGTTCTTTAGCTTGGAAGTATGTGGTGTTCAGAGGTCCTGCCACATTAGAGTTCCAGACTTTACCAGCATCACTTTCATCCCTGCACCACTCACAACTCCGAGCTCCAGCATGGGGTTTGCAGGTGAATTCATACCTCCAGTTTTGGAAAACAGCGTGCTGTTTATGGAGGACCAAGAATAAGGAAATCCATCCTCGGTTCCCAAATGATTATACCACCCCCATTCATAGTTACTGTGCTTTCCTATCTCATAACCCATTTTATGATAAACCCAAGTGCAACTGTTAGTCCCAACCTAGATGCCACCTGGCTGAGTTTGATTCAGACAGTAAATAACCCTGGTGGGATACTGGATTGGCCATGAAGATGTGTTCTTCCCAGTGGATGCTGCAATCAATTCTGCTGTAGTTACTTGCCAACCACTTGAGGGCAATAGGGGTGAAACCCAGGACTAGGTTTCAAGTTGTGTGGGTCCTCCACAGACCCAGCAGTTGGTGAGGTTAAAAATGCTTGCTGCTTGCTCAGCCAGTTGGCTAAAAGAGTTCTGTATGCCATTCTCTTAATCCCCAGAGTCTTGAAGGGGACAACGGATTGTTCTGGGGGTTGTGACAGTACACCAAAAGAACAAAATTGACATTTTGCTCTACAAACCCAGCCTAAACTTCTGAATATTACAAAGATAGTTATTAAAATATAAGTGATTAAAATCAACTGCCTTACTGCATTCAGTCACGGTCCGTATTTTCACCTGTAGTTCCTTAAGTATTGGGCAACCCCCACCCACTATGTCCACAATTTGTATTCCAGCAGTTGACAGTTAGGGATTACAGTTCCTTCTGATGCTGCCTGGATTGTTTCTCCTTGAGACATAACCTGTATTTATCCTTGCAGTTGTACATACCTGCAGGTTTCAATGGTTCTGGAAGCCCCCTAATTATAAGGGGGTCATCTTGGGATCGATGGGCATCATAGTGGGTAGTTTGTGGTGCGGCTGAAGCTTTCCATCATAGATCACGTGAAGACAAGCAGCCTTTTTGAACACTTTCTGCTAATTGGTCAACCTTCCCAGTAGTGGCAAGAGGGTCTCCTTTTTCTACTGGGTTAGGACTGCCTGCCCACTAGGCAGCCCTCTGATACAGGACTAGGGGGCCTGATTGTTACCATTAGTCAAAAATGCCTCTTGCAGAGGCAATTAAAAGAGTTCTGCCATGTCACTGTTTTCCAGAGCCTGTACCCCAGCCCAAACTCCTGAAGAGCTCAAACCTGAACAGCTCTCTCATCAAGCTGATCTGCCTGCTGCCCAATGGAACCGTGGCTGCTGTCTCTTGGAAGAAGGATGGACATTCCCTTACCCCACAAAATTATTATCAGCTCACTCAGAACTCCGCTGAGTTGTGGATAAGGAAGGGAGACAAGTCGAACTGTGGCTCCTACTCCTGCAACGTCAGCAATGCCGTAAGCTGGGAAGAGGCAACCTTCAACCTCATGATGGCAGGTAAGCATCAGCCTGTGGTGGGGCCACTGCTTTGCTGCATGTCTCGGAGTTGTCCTCAGTGTTAGTTCCCCTCGCTTCACTTTGCAGGTCTCTCGCCTCCTCTCCAAGTTGCACTGAGGACAACAGTGGCTGCACTGGCTCTCACTGTCATCACTGCCATCGGCTTTGTCATCTGGCTCCTGCAGCCGGGGAAGCACAGACTTGGTGAGTGCCCATACTCAAATCCCCAAACTGAGCCCTCTCTCCATGCCATGAAGAGGACAGAGGGTGCAGTAAAGCCTTTCTCCACTAACTCACTTTGTTAGTTGGAGGAATCTTGCTCAGTGGTCATGGAGTTCATATACTTCTTCTTATGCATCTGTATACTGCACAGAAATATAGAGTCCTAGCAGCAGTTAATCCCACGTGGCTTTGGGAGAAATCATTCTACCTACGCTATGTATGCAATGCATGCCATGGTATCATGGTAGGAAGCATGCTAGTCTTTCCTCTGCCGTTTCTTGGGCGTCCCTGGGCTGAAACAGAACAGGCAGGACACAAAGAGCTTTCCTGCATGAAGGTGCTGAGAGCTGACCCAATACCGTGTGGCACTGGTTTTGGTGACCAAGCTCAATGGCATTTGGGTCAGCACTCTGCATAATGCTGTGCATCCATACCTAAGCCTACAGGTTAATGCGGGCGCTTCAATGGCAATCAATATTTTGGTTATCAGAAAGCAAACCATAAGACCTAGCCAAAAGAAAGACCACTCACAGTCTTTGTAGTCTTCTTCTATCTTCTACCCATCAAGAACAATCCCCAATATAAGCGAGACCGACTGAGGAACAGAGGTGAAGCCCAACCATACATGGGAATATTGTCCTAGACTAACCTGTCTCCCTGTATTAACAATGGAGTTGTGAATTAGGCCCTGTTTTGGGGGTAATCTTTCCTGAGGAGCTCTATGTGCACAATGCTTGTGGTGAGAGCTTGTGCCACCTGAGTTCTTTGTAAGCTGGATCTCCAGAAGAAATCCAGTGCTTGCCACTGTAAGAGGCAAAAACCTGGGCAGAAGTGTATTAAGGTGCCAAACCAGATGAAATTGCTGTTTTGTTCAGCTTGGAGCAACCCCAGACCTGGCTGGAATCTCCCTGTCTCTCCAGAGGTCAAGCAAAGCTTTTGTAAGCCCATCAAAACCCTTTGAAGCCCACCAGGTTTTGTCATCAGGGGTTCAAAACCTTGGGGATTTGATTCTTTCCAAAGAAAATCTGTGCTTGCATTCATTTTCCTTCACAGGCTGCACCTCAGTGGTGAGGTCCTGAGCTCCAATTCAAGTCTGATTGCCTTTTTTAACAGGAAAAGAAGCATGGACATGGCTAACTCTACCCATCAAGGGGCTGCTGGGCATCTCATGTCTTCTCCTGTTTGTCACCTCTGTCATCTGGATGCAGGAAGAAGGTAAGATTCGCTGAAGCTGTGCATCCTTGTCTGATGTCCTGGTAGCTGACTGGTAGAAATCAGTGTTGAGGTTCACTGCTCAGCCTCAACCAGGAGAAGCTTTCCCATCCCAATTCTTTGTTTAATTCTTTTTCCCACAGGTCCTTCTGCTGCCTTCATCCTGCATGGGCTTTGCTTCCTTGCTGCAGTCATGACTGTGGTGCTGATCACCATGATCTCTCAGTGCAGACCAGAAGCACTCCCCCAGTGCCCAGCCCAGACCTGTGAGTTGCAGGTGGAGACACAAACCCCTGGTGCTAAAAGCCCCATAAGAGCCCAGGAGCAGCCTCTGAGGTTATCACTACAGGAGGGATGAATGCTGCTGTGGGGCCCATGCCCTGCTTCCCACTGATGCCCATCTCCTCCCTGTACCAACTCCTCTTCACCATTGCCCTCCCACTCATCAGAAATTCTCCTCTCTCCAGGCCATCATGTCATCCTGTGCAGTACAGCCATGACACTGGCAGTCAACTTGTCATTCTCCTGCCTCTTGCTCCACAACTTCCAGCAGGTCCATGGTAAGGGCTAATTGGGTTTTCACTGCATGTGCCCTTGCTTGCCTTCTTCGTGGGGGAGGGCTGGGGTGTCTGTGGGGCTGGGCAGTGGGACTCCATGGGTGGCTTTGCAGGCTGGTGCTTCAGGAAGGGGATCTGCACTCATTGTTGCCAAGGCAAGCCATGTGCTGAGCAGGGAAGGAACAGCAGGGCAAGGTTTGCCCCTGGAGCTCAAATGTGTGAAATGTAAGGATGCTCTTCTCCACCCGCATCTGGACATTCCAGCTCTGGAGCTGGTTAAGTGGGATGGAAGAGAGAACACTGACACTTCTCTCTATCTTCCTGGCAGAGCGTGGCTGCTCAGAACCTGTCAGTGTGATTGCCAGCTGCGTCCTTGCTGTCCTGGCAGCTCTCCTGTTGTTCTCCCTCTGTTGTAAGTACCCAATGGTTCTCTTCCTAAATAGCTGCTTGGTCACAAAGATCCTGGGCTCAGCTCTCACACTCTGGCATCAGCTTCTGTAGAAAAGGGAATCCCACACTTTCCAAGGGTATGCAGAGCATTTCAGAGTCCAGAACAGAGGAAATATTGCACAGCATAAAGCCAGTGGGTGGCATGTTAAAGGTGCAGGGCTTGCAGGCAAGGTGAGTGTCCATTTCTGTGCTGCCTTCTTGCTCTCCATCTGAAGCAGAAATCTTGTGTTTCTGAAAATTGAGGGGTTCTGCCAAGCGAAAGCCTCTCATACCCACTACACCCTGCAGCCCCATTTCCTTCCCATGCCCCATGAAGCACACACAGTGTTGGAAACCGAGCAGCTGATGCCCTCTCCTTCATTTCCAGATTACAAGAAGAAGATGGATGCCAGCAAACAGACCACAAGCACCCAAGTAATTGACTGCCCACCTCGGTGTCTCTTTCCCCTGCTGTTGCTTTCAGAAATCCTCATTATTTCATGAGGAACATGCAGTGCTAAGCAGAAAGCACCCACCTGCCTTCCTGCAGGGTGACATAGACTTGGTCACTACCCTGGGGGAGACACCATGAGCCTGTTCTGCCCATAGTGTAATTGTTCCCATGGGCATGTTGCGAGGAGCTCTCATGCAAACGTGCGTGTCAGTTTGGGTACAACATGCTCTTCTCCCCCAGAACACGGGGTTGTGAGTGAGGGAAACCACAGATCCACAGCATCGCCATTACATCTGCATGCCCTCATGCTGCACCCTTCAACACCTAACACCAGGCCTCAGATCCTGCCTCTATGTTTTGGAGATAGCAGGGGACTCTGGGATCTGGGAACCCTTCCCTGTCCTGCAGTAGTCATGGGGCAGCCCTGTCCCACCTTGGGAAGGAATCTCAGTGGCATGGGGGATTAGGGCACACCAAAAGGGATTATGGCCCCCAAAGGGGATTACCACCTATTTTAAGGGGATTATGGTCCACCAAAAGGGATTACAGCACACCAAATGGGATTATGGCCCACAGAAGGGGATTATGGACACCAAAGGCTCACCCCCATGTTTTTGCAGGGGAAAGAAGAAGATCGTGAACAGAACCAAGACAAGGAGAGCAAACATTCCCTTCACCATCCTGGAGATGACATCACACAGGAGCCAGGCTAAAAAAAAGGATGTAAGGCACCGCAAGCTCTGCCTGCTGTCCAGCAGAGTTTGGAGCAAAAATTCAGCCAAAATGTTAAAAAAAAAAAAAAAAAAAAAAAAGGAGGAAAAAAAAAGGAGGAAAAAAAAAAGTTACACATTCCAGACTTAGCTGTGGACAGATCTGAGAAGTTCTGTTCAACTGTCCCAGCTGTGATGTATTGCTACTATTTGTCAGATAAGAGCAGTACTGGCCCAGCCAATACCTTCTGGCTTCAAAAGATTCCTGTCTGTTTTGCTTTTAGCTCAGCTTCTGAGAATTTCCACTTCCTGAACTGCTTTCTTGCTGTCTCCTTATATGGTGCCTTATAGCTGTAGCTGCTGTGCTCTCAGGCCTCAAGTCTTTATACGGCTTTTAAAGCATTCCAGACCTCAAGTGCCCTGAGTTGGTTTCCATTCCACTGAGCCAGCCTTGTCCCACCTTGTCCCACTGCTTATCAGTGTGCAGTGGGCACTGTGGGCTGACGCCAGGACAAGGCGAGGGCGCCGTGCAGTGCTGACACAAGTTATGCCAAATAACTGTGTGCCTTCTGTTACACTGGCTAAGGATAGTTCTGTGAACAGTGAAAAATACGCAGCTTTGCCTTCAGTTCTGAAAAAGAAATTTGAGAATAGGCTTCAAGATTGCAAAAAAATTAATCAACTTACGTTTGAAACTCCAGTTTCAGTCGACATGAATTCATTAGCTGTGAATTTTCAAATGCAGTGCGTTGAGTTGTGATCAGACATTCAACTTCAAAATCTGATCATGTCTCTTAACCAGATTTTCAGAAGCCTTTTCTTACCAGAGAGAAATACTCCTCAGTTCACAGTCATGTCTTTTTTATGTTACTGCTTGTTGATACTACACACATTTGTCAAAAAATATTGTCAAGAAGAGTCAAGAACTTCCTTGCATGGGAAGAGTAAGATTTAATCTCTGATGAACACTTTGAGAACTCACTAAGAATTGCAACCACTGCCACTGAAGCAACCTGATGCATCAGTTTCACAAAAACGAGGTCATATATGCCACTAATTTTGTGGTTTTATTGCTCACTTTTTTTAAGGATGTTTTAATTTTTAAAAAGTTAAAGTAAATTTTGTTACTTATATACAGTAGCTGTATTATTTACTTACTCTGAAAACAATGCCACCTATTTTATGATGTTGGCCTGTGATGTTAGAGGCAGACGTTTGTAGGATAGCAGTAGAAGCTGAACCTTCCCACCAGTATTCTGTTACATGTTGCTGTGTGACAGATGGCAGGAGAGGGCAGTGTGACCAAATGGTGTCTGACACGGAAGGGCATAGGACCAAAGATGTGGAAAAAATGGTAACTATTGACATTCAGCACCTGGTAAACGTTTGTGGAGACCAATCAGTGTATGTGAGCACAGTAAGGAGGTGGGTGGTGCATTGTGACAGTGCAGTGAGTCACCTCCACTGGTGCACATTTTGACGAGCATGGCATGCAGGCTTTTGTTCATTACCGGTAAAAAAGCATAGCTAATGGTGGTAACTATGTTGAAAAAGAATGCTTTCTAGCTAGTAATTTTATCTATCAAATATTGCTTTTGTGCTCAGTTTATCAGTTGCAGTTTCCATGAAAATACATGAGAAGTACCTTTGGATACTTTTGGAGTGACCTATGTATACGCAGCTCAAAACAATTCCTCTTCACTCAATGTGGTCAAAGGGTTGGACACCAGCTCACTGACATGTTCGTTCATGAGGAAAAAGAAGGAAAACCCATTTAGATCACCATTTCCATCACTTTGCTACAGATGCCCTGATAACCACATCCCATGTGCATCCTTCTGTCTGCGTTCCCATTGTGCAGAGAGAAGCCCCATGCTTTTGGGACCCAGCTCTGGGGCTGGATCCTAACCCAGCAAGCTCTGCACCATGCTTTTGGAGTCCAGGGGGTGGGAGGGAGCCTTAAACATCCAAGCTACAGCTGAGCGGTGCTCCAGGTCGCCACAAATCCCATCCCCAGGGCAGCGAAAGCCCCGTCAAACGGCCAAGGCAGAAGTTCTTGGAGCCGGGACCTAGACAATGCAATGGCACAACCCTGTGGCAGCGAGGGGAAGAGCATGACAGCATCTTCCCTCTAAGCAAAGAACCGAGAGGCCTCCAAACTCACTGTATACAGCACGTGGCAGTTACTCACTTGGTGCACTAACAAGTTGATTCGTGTCTGAGAAGATTTTTTTTTATTTATGTCCGACAGGAAAAAGACCTTCTGCTCTATAATGGACCATTTTGGGTAGAGCTGCTGCCTGCCACGCATCTGAACAACATCCCCACACTGGAAGGTTTACGAACCCACACAAACCTTGCACCCTAATGGCCACCTTCCAGTGCAAAGTTGACATTTCCTATGTCCATATTCGTAAGAAATTGTCCCCCTCCCCCCCAACAGCAATAACAATGATTTTGTTATTTTTCAGCTTTTTCCAAACCCGGAGCAAGCACAAAAGCAGGTTTTATTTTTCTTAGGACTCAGTGAGAGCAGTGATGTGTTGGTGCTTCAGGAACATTCCCGCCCAAGAGTGTCTTGACAGAGAACAGTCCTGATCACCTCCACTGTGGTTTTGTTTATGATTTCTGGATTAACTTCCAGAATTTCAGGAAATGTAATAATCTGCAGTAATCCCAATGTATATAGTTTGATATTTCCTGCAGAATTTGAAGTGGTTGTCACAACTCGAGGAGTCCAACACCAATTTATTTCAACTTGAAACTATGGTGATATTCACTTTCATAGAGAATCAGAACAATTACACACCATATTCCTAATCAGTCACTGAAATGTGGGAGTGTTTGTTTGACAAACTCCATGCTAGCATGCTTCTGAACAGGACTCATTTTGCCTTCTTAAGCTCTTTTTTTCCCTAAGAGGTGAAATATTTTCTTTGTCTTGCTAGATCACTTACAGCATTTCTATTTAACACGCCCTTGAGGCAGCCAAGTTGACGGCATTACACACACGCTGTGTGCATGCTGGACTGGATGGAGAGCCTCCAAATCACTCAGAGGTAAGCAAAGATTTCTTTCTTCCCTTCACAAACTATGTGTTCAGCTTCAAAGTTCAAGAGACAAAGATTGTCTAGATCAATTGCGTGCAGGCATGCCTTTTGAGCACAGACCTTATTTTCTTGCGTGCACACCCCTGTCCTGCCGCAGCCTTTTTGCACAGGGGTTATCTCCCAGACACGAAGACCACGGCCAAATAAACACCAAACACAAGCAAACAAACAGCAGCTTCATCGAAATTTTGTTCTTATGCTCCAGCCCTCGCACGCAGGAGCCCCGCGAGGAGTGAAGCTGACCCGTCCTGCCGCCGTCCCACAGGGCGCACGGCGGCGCGGCAGCACCTTGGACAGAGGCGCAGCGCACAGCCCAGCCGTGCCGCTCTTGTCTCACAGACAAAAGCGCCTGTGCTACCCGCTGTGCTGCCCGCGGGAAACAGCCGCCGTGAGGAACCAAACCTCTCCCCAGGGTCCCGCCGGGCTGGCTCTCGCCTGCCCAGTGCCGCGGCGGGGACGGCCTGCAGACGGCGGCGGAAAGCGGTGGTGCCACGCGACCACCATCGCCGCGCTCCTGAGGGAAAGCACGGCCGCTTCCGGTGCGAGGCGGATATGGGCGGAAGTGGCGGCGGCTGCGCCACCCCTGTGCAGAGCGCCGCCTTGCGGAACGGAGGTTAACAGGGCAGGCTGGACCAAGCGCCCCTCGTCCGGGCTGCAGCCCTGCCATTGTCCCGATCGCTGAGCAGACAAATTGACCGAGTTCTTGTAGAGTGCTGCTTCTCATTCCCAACACCTGCTCCTCTCCTTGTCAGCTCTATGGAATTAAGATGGCAATTTTGGGCTTATATATTGACAGGTGACTTCGGAGACCAGCGCACACAAGGTAAAAACTATTATCCGAAAGCGCAAGTGAAGGGCAAAGAAAAATCTACGCTTCAAATTTCTTACAGAAAGAACTCTGCATCACCTGCTTTGAGCTACCTCTGAGAATCTTTTATGTCCACCATGTAAATATGGATGGGAAACCCATAATGGCCGTGAGCAAGCAGTAGTGGATTTCTGCTTCCTTACAAAGATGCTAAGTCCTTTCATACAGAGTATGCATGAAATAACAGATCCTTAGGATTTGGAGTCTAACATCCGCTGTGCACAGATAAAGTGGCATTGAACTGAAAATCACATTCTGACTTCGTACTTTGCAGAGACATGAACTCTGACTTTAAGAAATAAGCAAATTAAAATATGTTTAGACAAAATGTGGTTATTTATCTTTTTAATTCTGATACCACATTTCCCTATCAAAGAGAAGTTTATCTGGAAATGAATTCATGTGCCTGCGATCTACTGAAAGTGACTTTGATGGACCTTAACTTTATTGTTATAATCATGGAATCATTATGGTTGGAAAAGACTTCTGAGATCAACTAGTCCAACTGTGCACCTACCACCAACACTGCTCACTAAAACGCATCCCTAAGTGCCACATCTACATCTTTCTTTTACACCTCCAGGGGCAGTGACTCCCTGGGCAGTTGCACAGGCATTGGCACAGGTTGCACAGAGAGGTGGTGGGTGCCCCATCCCTGAAGGCATTCATGGTCAGGATGGATGGAGCTCCAAGCACCTGATTAAGCCCAGTTTATTGTGAGGGATTTGGACCAGATGACCTTTTAGGATCTCTTCCAACTCAAATGATTCTATGATTCTGGTGGAACCTGCTCAGCCCCAAGGGGCTTGGTTGTCTTACTTTGCCTCTTGGCAAAGTTTTGGTTTCTCAAGGTGCAGCTGACATGCTGAGGGCTGTTGTTTTCCACAATAGCCTTCATTAAAATTCATTTCTTCCCTTGATGTTGTCTCCTGCATCAGTGTCCTGCAGTGTGAATTTGGAGCCTGAGGAAAAGTGTGCCGATGTTTTACTGATGCTCGCAGCTCTCCAGCCCCATGGTCAGTCCTGGACGGCAGCTGACCATCTTCCCACGGCCAGAATCAGAGAATTCTGTCTACGAATGGAGCAGGACGAGCAATGCGGGATTCCCCCACACGGTGGCACCCCCAGCCCACCCCTGCCCGGGCGACACCAGAGGGGCTGCCGCACTGTGTCCAACACTGTCCCTTCTCCCTGCACGCCGGTTGCCCAAGCAGGGCTCGCATCAGAGCTGTGCTGAGGCTGCTGGGTGGGTGTCAGAGAAGGGATGAGGTGTTTGATAATAGTTCTGCTCATCACTAGCTGACTCAGAAGTGTATTTCTCAAAGCTGCCTCCTGCTGCTCCTGTTCCTCACACCTCAGCTCTCACTTGGGCCCCATGCATCTCTGCCATACTGAACTGCTTTTTCCAGACGAGCTCCCCAGAGCACCTCCAAGAAGTTCCACCAGTATCTTTGCAATCCATCTGTGTTCATCTCTTCCAATACACCTATTACACCCACTTCTGCTTCTTCCTGTTCTCCTCCTTGGGTCCCCATACCTTGTGCTGTCACCACAGAATTGTAAAGGCTGGAAAAGACCTCCAAGGTCATTTAGTCCAACCATCCACCTACCACCACTGGTTGTAAGGTAAGAGAGGGAGCGTGAGGAATAGCATGGTACAAAAGACTGCTACCATGAGTTTTCATCAGTGGCAACACATTGTGCTGGGCAGCAAGCACCTGACCAGGAGGAGGACTGATCCCCACAGCCAAGAGCTTGTTAGTTTGCTACAGCTGCAGCTACTGAGATACAAGGTCAGCTGTGTTGTGAATGGGAGGTGCTCATGCTTGCTTTCACTCTCTTCTTCCTCCTTTTTTTTTCTGCCAGTGAGCCCAAGTTGACCATAAAAGCAGCAGTATTGGAGAGGGATGAGAACATAGTGGTGGTTTCACCCTCAGAGTCCTATTCAGCATGACCTTAAGTGTCAGGAAGACATAATGGGGCAGGAGGATAGGAGAAGTGGAGATGAAAAATATTTCTGCAGAGTTGGAATTTGCAAGGTAACAAATATGTGTCTGTGCATCCCTACTAGTTGGGAGG